ATGACTTCACGCGTTTGTCGGATTCAGAGACGAGCTATTGGAGAGTTTCCAAGATGACGTGTTATCTTGGGCAGCTATTTAGTGGTTTATTGAGCACGTTGAGCTATCACGGATATGTGACGACGATTCGGACGTTGCGCGTGATTTTGATATCGTTCTTGGTCGTGCACGCCGGAATTACAAGCTGCGTGGCAGAGGACGGTTCGAGCGCAGCCATGCTTTGGACAATTCAACACAGCCGCAAACATTTGGAGATGAAAGCGAGGGTTTGCCAGGCCAGAACAGGAGAAGCAAGCAACAACCGCAACGCCATGCTTTGTCCCTTGCTAGCCCCACTGGGATGGCACCCGAGAGCACCGGACACGATATCGTGCTCTGATCCCGGCAAGCTCCGTCTTAGAGCTGCATCAGCTTTTGCGCTGATTCGAAAGGCTTCCTTGGACACGTCCGCGGAGGATCGGGCGTGGCATGACGCTGTTGCTGATCGGATTGGATCGACGTGGTTGGTGGCCTAGGGTTACGAAGGCAGTGGTCGACATTCGGACGCAGCTTATGTGATCATTGCACATAGCGTCCTTAGTTGTACCATACACAAGTGTGTCCTTTGGCTCCTGGCATCTTCGAGGCGCTTGATGAAACCTTGCGATGCAGTGTTTGCTTGCCGAGATCGTCCAGCGCGGCCCATGTGATTCGCCAGCCGGTATTAACCGGATCCATCCCACAGTCACCTCGCATGTTGCCCCATATCGTCAGTCCCGGTGGGGGGTCCCTTCCAAAATTGAATTCATCCACTCGCCATTAAGGACAATAATGCATCTCCTAGACCGTCATGATCCAGTACACTTTGTGATTTTGTTGCCTTCAAACGCATCGTCAACATTGCGGCGGCTGCAGTGTCCGCTGCCGAGTAATTCTGCACCCCACATCTTTACAAGGGACCCTATGAAATGGAAGGGGGACCTCTTTTGTCCGGATATTCCAGGTTGAATCTGGGCGGAGGGCTGGGGGATGCCGGGTGTCTCTCGCTCTGATTGGCTAAAATCCCTTTTCATACCTGCTGGGATGTGAAAGCCGCCGACCACAGCATTTGAGAATTCCCTCGGTATGTGGCGATCCACGGTCCCCCGCAGCTTGGCCCTGACGCGCGCCATGAGCGTGACCCGGCGGGTCCAGAAGCCGCTGCCGGAAGCGTGGGCCAAGGCCGCGACGAAGGAGCTCAAGGGCAAGGACCCGATGGAGACACTCCTCTGGAAGACGCCCGAGGGTATCAACATCAAGCCGCTGTACACCAAGGACGACATGGAGGTACGACTCGACGAACGCAGCATGCGACGACGATCACATGCATATGCAGGACTTGGATCCGGCGCAACTTCCCGGTACCTTCCCCTTCACGCGTGGTCCGTATGCGTCCATGTACACGGCCAAGCCCTGGACGGTGCGGCAGTACGCTGGTTTCAGTACCGCTGAGGAGTCGAACGCGTTCTACCACAAGAACTTGAAGGCAGGTCAGCAAGGTTTGTCGGTCGCCTTCGATCTGGCCACGCATCGTGGCTACGATTCGGACCACCCGCGCGTGCAGGGTGACGTCGGTATGGCCGGTGTCCCGATCGACTCGGTCGAAGACATGAAGATCTTATTCAACGGCATTCCGCTCGACAAGATGTCCGTCTCGATGACCATGAACGGCGCTGCGTTGCCGATTCTGGCCATGTACATCGTGGCCGCGGAAGAGCAAGGCGTCGACCAGAAGCTTCTCGCCGGCACGATCCAAGTATGTGTTTCTCATCTCTTATGTCATGGTGGCTCATAGTCTCTGGATGTAGAACGATATCCTCAAGGAGTTCATGGTGCGTAACACGTTCATCTACCCGCCGCAGCCGTCGATGCGCATCATCCAAGTACGCAGCTTTGTCCAACTGCAACGTATCATCTCATGGGATTGCTCCGTAGGACATTTTTGGCTACACGTCCGTGTACATGCCCAAGTACAACTCGATCTCGATTTCGGGCTACCACATGCAAGAAGCCGGCGCAGACGCCAAGCTCGAGTTGGCGTTTACGATTGCCGATGGTATCGAGTATGCGCGTGCTGCGGTCGCTGCTGGTCTCGACGTCGACATGGTCGCGCCCCGTCTTTCGTTCTTCTTTGCGATCGGCATGAACTTCTACATGGAGGTACACTTGCTTTCATCGCAGAATGAAGCTTATTGGTCGACGTAGGTAGCCAAGCTCCGTGCGGCGCGTAAGCTATGGGCGATTCTTGTCGAAGAAAAGTTCAAGCCCAAGAACCCCAAGAGTCTGTTGCTCCGTACGCATTGCCAAGTACGTTTTTGCATTTTGATGCGGCTTCCGAAGCTCATTTGTATGTGCACAGACGTCTGGCTACTCGCTTACCGAGCAAGATCCGTACAACAACATTATCCGCACGACCGTCGAAGCCATGGCTGCCGTCATGGGTACACTCCTTCTCCTTATGTCCAAGTCACGCTGGTGCTGACCGTGGTCGTTATTAGGCGGTACTCAAAGTCTGCATACGAACGCACTCGACGAAGCACTCGGATTGCCGACCGAGTTCAGCGCGCGTATGGCCCGTAACACGCAGCTCATCCTTCAGGAGGAGACGGGTATTCCCAAGGTCGCTGACCCGTGGGGTGGCTCGTACTTGATGGAGAACCTCACGCAAGAACTCGTCGACTCGGCGCTTGAGATCATCCAGGAGGTACCCTACACGTTAGCTTTGTCAGCAAGTACTCACACCATGTCTTTAGGTTGAGGAATTGGGTGGTATGGCCAAGGCGATTGAGTCCGGCATGGCCAAGCTCCGCATCGAAGAGAGTGCGACGAAGAAGCAGGCGCGTGTCGACTCGCGCGAAGACGTCATTGTCGGTGTCAACAAGTACCGTCTCGCGAACGAAGACCGCGTCGACGTGCTTTCGATCGACAACAACAAAGTCCGCGAGTCGCAGATCAACCGTATCAACACGACCAAGGCGAACCGCAACGAAGCGGAGGCGCAAGAATGCCTCAAGCGCCTCGTTCACTCGGCCAAGCTCACCGAGTCGACGGGTCCTGGCCTGCACGAATACAACTTGCTCAACCTCGCCATCGCCGCCTCGCGCGCGCGGTGCACGGTTGGCGAAATCTCGGATGCTCTCGAGTCGGTCTGGGGCCGCCACGTGCCCAAGGTACGACTGCATTTTTTGTAGTTGCAAGACTCACGGGATGTGATGTCGTAGAGCTCGGTCGTGCAGGGTGCGTACCGCGATACGTATATGGCCAGTGATGCCGAGGCTGAATACACGACGGTATTGGCCGAGGTGGACGCGTTTGCCGAGGACCAAGGTCGTCGTCCGCGTCTTCTTGTGGCCAAGATGGGCCAGGACGGCCATGACCGTGGTGCCAAGGTGATTGCGTCGGGCTTCTCGGACCTTGGTTTCGATGTCGACGTTGGCCCTCTCTTTTCGGTACAAGGCGTCAATGAACCAATTCATCCTAACATACCGATACTAGACGCCGGAGGAAGTCGCGCGCCAAGCGATTGATTCGGATGTGCACTGTGTCGGCGTGAGCTCGCAGGCCGCTGGGCACAACACACTCGTACCGGCGCTCATGAATGCGCTCAAGGACCAAGGCGCGGAGCACATTTTGGTCATCTGCGGTGGCGTGATCCCGCCCAAGGACTACGACTTTTTGTACGAGCAAGGTGTCGGCGCCATCTTTGGGCCTGGCACGCGCCTGCCGACGGCCGCCAGCGATACACTGAAAGCCATTTACAAGAAGCTGGCCCAGAACGCGGCGCAGGACTAGATATGATGATGGGGCTTCAAATAATGTATCAATCTTGGTGTTTATGAAGTTGCCGCTTGCGCCGGGCGGTGTCCAGGTCTTTCGTATACATTAGCGCGAGACTTCTACGTTAGTCAAACATCGCTGACGCGACAAACCATCGGCTTTATGAGTTTGGGGAACTTTACACTCGTAACTTTGGTCTTGTTCCACCCTATCACTCGTATCTTCGTATCTTCGGCTCAACATGGCGCGAAACCGCGGCAGAAGATTTGCGCATCTTCTGGTGGCCGACAATGGGCACGGTCACGGCCTCGAGGTCGAGTGCCAAGCTGCGAGCCACGTACACAGCTTGCAAGGTATTTCTCGTGATTCTCGTCGTCACCGCCCTCGCGTTCGGTGTGCGATATGTCGTCATGGCCCACACCCACATCATCAACGCCGACTGGGTCGAGGTACATTCACGTGGCAATCTACACCGACCCGAGATTCGCTGTGCGTAGAGCCACCGCGATATCAGCGGGTTTGTCTGCGTCCTCGCTCTCTGGACCTGTGTGCTCACGGGCGTACCCTGCACGCTTCTCGAGACCTTTTCTGGCGTGTACTTTGGCTTTGGTTACGCAATCCTCATCAACACCGCGGGCACGGTCCTTGGATCAGCACTTGCGTTTGGTGTCGCGCGAGCGTGCGGCGAACGCCTCGGCGCCTACCTCATGGCCAGGTACCCACTCGTGCTTGCGCTGCACCACCTCTTCGAGTCCCCCGAGACCAACTACCGCGTGCTGTTCTGTATCCAGCTCGCATACGTGCCAGTGACGCTCAAGTGCTACAGCTTGAGTGTCCTCGGCGTTCCCTTTTGGCCCTTTCTTATCTCAAATTTTGTCTGCGGTCTCCCGCTGGGCGTGTTCTGGGCCTACGTCGGCAGCGTCTCTGGCAACATCAAGGACGTCCTTGCCGGCGGGGGCACACTCTCCACTGATCACATTGTTGTTCTGGTCACAAGCCTTGTCGTCAGCATTTTTGGTCTCGGCCTCATCTGGTACTATACCCGCAACGAACTCCGGCGAATGCAAGCGTCAGCCCACAGCGGAACCAAGGCGACCATCGACGTGCTGTCTGCGTCGCAGGAGACACCGCAGCAGGTGATTTTGATGCCGGGCAGGTCCATGCCACCGCCTCTGTTTGCGTCGAGCGTCGACACGCCTCGTCACCCCAGTGTGTAAGCTGACAACGTTGGTGCCAATGAAGAGACGTCGTCGAATGTATTACCGAAAAGCGCGTGAGGACCCATGGCGTCGCGATTACTTTTTGTTCTTTCTCGCCGTCTTGAGGTCCGTGCGGGGCAGATCCGAGCGCAGCGGGAACGTCGTGCCCGCGTTGGCCTTGGCCTTGTCCTCGGCGCTCGGCGCGGCCGTCGTTGATGCGACCTGGAGAATGTGGTCGAGCTTGGCGCGGTTGTGGAACGTGCCGTTGACGTCAATGAGGTAGAACCCCATTGAGTCGTTGATCTTGAGCGTCAAGTACTTGTCGGTTTGCGACTGGACGCGGATCTGCGGCAGCGCATAGTCGGTCGGCTCCGAGAGGCCCTAAGGAGAGAGCAATAATTCTCTGGTTCGACTCCTGGAGGAGAGATGGCGTACGCCAAGAAACTTGTGCGTCGTAATACGAAGCTTGGCGCCACCCGAGATCACCGAGACGCGGGCAATCGAGCGCTACACTGCGAATTAGGAAGACTTAACGGTTTGGATGTTTGGCTACCTGGGCGAAGAAGCCGACGACGCCGGCCATCATGACGCTTGCGCCGAGACCGATCGATGACCACGCGTCGTTCGTGATGATCGACATGAGCGTCGTGTCGGGCACATCAAGCGGCGTGATCGGGATTGCCATCTCGGCGCCCTTGAACCAGCTCCAGAACGCAATTTGCACGAGCGACGCCGACGAGATCATGGTAAAGTACGTCTAGATACGCATGCACGCGGTGAAGTGGGCGCGTGACCATGACATGGTCATTACCTTGCGGTGGAACTCGTACAGGACGTCGCTCGGGACGACCGACGTTGCCGGCGCCACGTGGTCGTTGTCGCCGAGGAGCTTGAAGCGCGCGTTGGCCGGCGCCGACTTGCGCGCATCCGCAGCGAAGCATCGGAGCGCGGTCACAGCCCCGACCGGGCGGCGAAGGCGCAGCAAAGACCCGCAGAGCATCGTTGTTCAATCTGTTGCATAGCCAGTGGAAGATCCACACTCTGCTGTAATATACTGTTATATACACTATATATTTGTGATGAAATAGTGTGTATGACGTTGTGGGAATTCGAGTCTGCTGGCCCTTTCAAGTGATGGGAAATGTACTAGAAGCAGTCTCATGGACGCGAAAAAAACTTGACTGTGGTGTTTCTATGACTCGATGCTGTTTCTCACCTTCACCGAACGCTGTCGATAGGCGCGTCAGCGAGGTGATGGGAGCACGTTCCTGGTCGTCCTGCGCTTCTGGACCATGCTGCGTCATGGCAGTGCAGACTGGAGCAGCGATCCTGGATATCCAGACGTGAGTAAATACCGTAAACCCACGACGCCATTCAACAACGTACAAAGAGTCGAACACTACAAGAGGCAGCACTAGCAAAGCCCGACACGCCTTGCATCATGCTCGGCCTCTCACACAAATGATACGATCGCACGGCTCCATGTGCTCTAGAAAATGACGAGTAGTTTCGCTACTTTCACACGCCATCTTTCTTTGCTGGGTCGACATGATTCTCCAGCCGGCGTCGTTGGTTGTATCGCGATGGACCATGATCATGGCTCGGAGAAAGCCGTGGTCGACCCATCACGGCATGGCATCCCTCGAGGTGGTTTCCAGTGGACCATTGCTCGCTGGTCGTGTGTCTAACGCGTTCCATTGTCTTAAACGCGCGGCAGAGTCGGTTGTCCAACTGCTCGTTTCCCTTGTCTCGACATGAGGGCAAACTGACTAGCACTGGCTCGCTACTAGCCGCTGGCTCGCTTGGGTGCTGCCACGTCACACCAACCATCTGTTTTTCGACTCATCACGGGCGAAGCCAAAATACAGTCCACGCCGCACCTGCAGCTGGTGCCGACACCAGCGGCCGCTGCAACGCGTCTTCTTCGAACCACAATGCTTTTACAAATAGGAACCGGATGGTCAAGTTTGGTGCTGTCGTAGATTCACTTTGTCTATTGCTGCATATCCCACACCACCGATGTCGGCGAGTCCGATCACGATCATGGAGTCGTCGCGTCTCGGGTACCTCAAGCCATACGAAATCTTTGTCGACTCGAGTCACGGCGACATCTACTCGAACGCGTGGCGCGGGCAAAAGGCGCGCACCCCCAAAGACGACTTTGAAGGTCCGCTCCGAGACGGGTCGCCCGTGGACCTCTTTTCGGCAACGCACGCCGGTCTGCTCGTTAGCGCGGGTGTCCTTGGCATGGTCACGACTCTCTTCACTGTCCTCTCAGCGCCAGCACCCGGCCGCGCCGGCCTCGTCAACATTGGCTTTTACGCAAAAGTGATCTTTGCACTGATCTCGGACAGCGTGCCATTTCTTGGTTACAAGCGCAAGTCGTACATGCTTCTCGGGTGGACCTCGATGGTCGTCGCCTTCTTCATCCTCTCTGTCGTTGCTCGCGACGAGTACGCACTTTCGTCTCTTGTAGGCTATGTTCTTATTGTCTCATGATTAGAGATGCACATGCAGCTGGTGTCGTCTTGGCATCGCTGAGCGCGGCGCTCGTTCAGACAGCCTCCGACGGACTCATGGTCGAGTACGCTCAACGCGAGCCCATCGAAGCGCGTGGCCGGACACAAATCACGCTGCTGGCTTTGCACTGGTTTGGCGCGAGTCTCTCATCGCTGTTGCTCGCGTGCCTCACGGATGACACCAACGGCCACTTGACGTGGGCGCTCGATAAGGCGTCTGTCTTGCGCATCGTGGCTGTTGTCTGCATTCTCCCCGTGCCGGCACTTCTCTTTTTCGCCAACGAGTCGCGCCTCGCGCCGTCCTTCGAGTTTCGCCGGCGCCACTACATGTTTGGGCGCTTGCTCCAAAACAAAGCCGTACGTCTCGTCGTCATTGCACTCGTCATCTCAAACAAAAGCCATGTAGATTTGGCAAATCGCTCTCTTTCAAGCCGGTGCCGGCTGCTGCCTCGCCTTGTCGTCGGTTGCCAATGGGTATAGTCCGCTGCTGTGGTTCCGCACCATCTACCCCTGGATCGTCCGGCTCGTTTTCTTTGTGCTCTTTGCCTACGCGCTGGCGTACGTGCAAAGCCACGGGCTCTCGTGGCACTGGCAGCGGTCGTTCCTCTTGGCCGCATCTGCCAACATGCTGCTGCACGTTCTTCAACATGCATCGGTAGTCGATAATGCGACCAACTGGGGCGCGGTGACCCTCGTCTGGTTCTCGTCCGTACCCACCGCGATCCAGTACGTCCTCCGCCACCTCCCGATGGTCGAGGTTGCGCCGTACGGGTTTGAAGCCACAACGATTTCACTTCTCTCCACGTCTGGCGAGGTTGTGCATCCGCTTGTGATGGCGCTGCATAAACACTACGCTAGCCCCGACGGCCGCTGGAGTACCACGTCGTTCAACATCGCCTTGGGGCTCAACGTCCTTGGCTGTCTGTCCGCGTGGTTCCTCCCCAAGCAGCGCAGCGAATGCATCTCACTCCGGCACTTTGGCGGCCTTAGCAAGCTTGCGGCGTCGCTCTTGGTCATTGCGCTGACCTCGCATCAAGTGACCGCCGCCGTCTTGCAGTGGCCGGGGTCGTCAATTTCACGTCTCTAGTCAGCTCGTAGCGTAAAATAGTCAATAGTCGCTATAGTATTATATTAGTTAAAGTGCACATCCTACAAGGTCGGGCGGCCGGCCACGTCGACTTCTTGGAGCTCGGTTTTGGGAATCCGAATGCGGACGTCGTCGCTATGGCTCTTGGTCCGCACCGCGTGCATGTGTACCTTCATGGCCGCGTTTTCCTTCATGAGTGTTTCGTTCATCTCCTCGAGCTGCGTGATGCGGCGCGCGTCGTCTGGGCTCTGCTGGCTCGAGTCCCGGATGAGTTGCTGGAGCTGCATTTGCGTTTGCTTGGCTTTTGTCTTGAAGAGCACGAGGTGCTTCTCAAGACTGCCAATGTATTCTTGCTGCGCCGCATATTGCGCCTGGAGCTGCGTCAGCTCGGGCGGCGACGAAGTAAGCTGGAGGCGCGCAACCTCGTCTTTGGCGGCTTGCAGCTGCTCTTTGAGGGCCGCCATGTGCTCCTCCCACTCGGTCTGGCGCTGGCCGACGTACCGATCGTACTCGGCGAGACGCTTCTTGTCCTTCTCCGCCTCGTGCACGCACCGCTTGGCAACGTCCAGCTCGGCTTGCTTGGCCGCGAGAAGCGCGCTCATGTCTGCGATCGCCTTGTCGTCCTTCAGTTGCTCGAGCTTCGACTGTTTCTCGGCCACAAGAATCGTTAGCTCGTCGATCGTGTGAAGCGACTGGGCGTGCGCCGCCTCCTGCTGCACAAAGCGCCTGTCGTACTCGGCGCGCGCGGCTGCAAGCCCGTGCTCGAGTTGCACGCGCGTCTGTGACAGCTGCGTGATGAGCTCTTCTTGCTGCTGGATCTTAACCTGCAACGTACGCTCCGACGAGGCCAGGGTCACTAGCTGTGTGCAATGTGAAGATACTTATCGGTCGTCTTTGCGTCCGTACCTCGTTCCAGGAGAGACGGAGCCACGCAAGGAGCTTTCCGTCGCCCGTCCGCGGCACGCCCAGCGTCTTGAGAATACGGTCAAGCGGCGACGTTGCTTTGCTCGTGCTTGGGCATATGGACTTGGCCGACTCGAGTTGCGCGTCTTGAAACAGAATTTGAGAGTTGAGGTCTTCAATCTGCTCTTCGAGCGCCGCGAGCTCGTCTTGGGCGCCGGGCTCAAGGAATGCCTACGACGCAAATGTATTAACTTGACTATCCAGTGGACAATGGACGCACCTGCGCTTCGTTCTTCTCCAAGAGCAATGCAAGCTTCTTCTCAGCGCGCTCCTTCCGGCGCTTCAAGCGGGCCACGTCGTCTGCATCAGGAAGCGACATCATCTTTTGGTTCATGGCTTGAATCGTCGCCGAGAGATCCGAAATACTATGCTGGACGCTCAAACTATTCCGATGCATCCACTGTTAAATACGCGATTTACACTTCAATTTCACCTTTGACGCATCTTCTCCATCTCGAGCCCTGTCTTGCGCAGTGCAATGTCGTGGATCTGACGCTCGGTTTCTTCCTTGTCGTGCGCGAGCGACTCCATCTGGTCCGTGACGTCTTTGGCGTCCAACGCCGCTTGGAGCTGGCTCTTGAAAAGCGACTGGAGGCTCTGCGCAGCTGCGAGCAACGCGTCGGCCGACTTGGGTGGCGACGGCGGCTTCTCCAGCCGGCGCCGGGCTGTCGTCGGGGCGGAATGCACGCGGTGGATGGGACTTGGCAGCTGCCGCTGGTTCTACGTCATTCTTCAGTCCTATCGAGTCCATGCAAGAGACGTACCGGACTTGGCATCGTGGGCACCTCCGTGTCCTTGCCCTAGTGAAAGAGACATGAGTCTCGGCATCTCTGTGTGTGAGGAAGTGACACCTCGTGGTGGTGGTTGTTGTTGTCGTCTTCGTCAATGAGCACGCAGTCGTCGTCATCGTCAGCTGGCTGGTGGCGCTGGCGAAAGAGGCTCTTGACAGCCTCGTCTCGCTTGGCTCGCAAAAGGCGATCGGGCGACGTTTTCGCCGACATGTTGCTTGCGTCGGCGCGCATCGCTTGCACGCGGGCCTCGAGCGCAGCGTTGGCCGCCTGCAGCTGCTGGTTGACGAGCACCGTGGTGTCGAACTCGGCCTTCATCTTGAGCATGAGCTGCTGGAGCGCTTCCATGTCCTTGGCCTTGTGGTTGAAGATCTCAACATCTTGCTTGAGCTTCTCTTTGAGCGCGAGGATTTCGGCGTGGGCCTGGTCCGTGTCGATTTCATGCCGATTCGTCGGCGGTGATAAGAGCAAAATCGCATTGAGCGCCTTGACCACGTCGTTGAGGCGCTGCTGCACGGGCCGGCCCAACGTCTTGACGTCGCGCTCGAGCGAGACAAGCGTTGTCGCGGCGTCCTTGGCGCACACTTTGGCCTCGCGAAGAAGGCGCTTGTAGTGCCGCGCCGTCTGCGTTTCCGCGTCCAGCTTTTGCCGCCACGAGTCCTCCGGTTCGGTCTCGCCTTGCTGCTGGAGCTGCGTCTGGAGCTCTTGGATTTCCGACTTCATGCGAGCAATCATCGACGCTTGCTCGTTCTCGACCACATGGTTGACGACCGGGCGGTTCTTGATGTTCTTGGCCCGATTCGCGTACTTGAGCGTGTTGAGCGTCTCTTCGAAATTGGACGCCGCCGGACTCACACACGCAATCATGAGCGTGGTGGAATTGCCTCCGAGCGAGTCTTGGAGGAGGCGCGTCAGCTTCGAGTCGCGGTAGGGCACGTGCAGCTTCTTCTTGGCTTCGTCACCGAGCGCGCTAATCACGTTCCCGAGCGCAAGGAGCCCTTGGTTGATGTTGATGGACTCCTACGCAAAATGGTGAGCCATGGTGCTGCCACGTCATGTACGGTACTTTGAAACGCCCGCCAACAGCGCCTGTGCGCTTGGCACGCTCCGAGCCGGCCAAGTCGACGAGGTGGAACTTGGCAAGCGTGAATTCGCCCGTCCCCAGGTCGCGCTGCTGCAGCATGAGCGTGAAGATCGCGTGCGACCGGCTCGACTGCTCGTTCATGTTGGTGCTGCCCGTGACGCGTGCGCCTGTGCCCATCGAGAGCAGTCGCATGACGTCGTCTGGTGTCTGCACCGCGCGCGACTGTGCGCCGGCAACGACAATGTGACCGTTCGCATCTTCGCGGATCGAGAGTTGCTACATGGAATCGATATGGCTGGACGACAACTGGAACCGCACCTTGGACGACGTCTCAGGGTGCAGCAAGTCGCGAAGCTCTTCGTTGTAAATCTCTAGGTACTCGACGCGCAGGAGAAACTCTTTGACCTACATCGAGCTTCGGTTCAGATACGCAACGTGAGGGTGGTCATCGTACGTGCTTGAGTTCTTGCATGCAGCGAAAGACATGGCAGACCGCGCGCGGAATGACGCCATGGCTCTCGTCAATCTTGGTGCTGTAGGCAGCGCCGCCGCTCATCGTGTGGGTTTTGCCGCTGCCCGTTTGGCCATACGCGAGCACGGTCGCGTTGTAGCCCTAAGCTCGCTGTCGCTAATGTCAATGAACGAAGTGGTGGTACCTCCATAAACTTGGCGACGAGCGACGCCACGGACGCGTCGTAGAGCTTGGCCTGGTTAGCGTCCGGCGTCAGGATCGTGTCGAACGTGAACGGCCGGTCCTTGCCGACGATGAGCTGCGTCGGCGCCGCGCCATTCGTCGGAGGCACGCGCACGCAGTTGGCGCCCGGGATCGGCTCGGCGCCTCTCGGCTCCTTCTTGCCGAGGACGGGCCGGATCCGGACGCACACATGCACGCAGTCCTCCATTGTCGCAAAGAAGAGCAAACTCGCAAGTGCTTCGACAAAAAAGCGCTAATTTTAGCGAAAAACGAAATTTAATTCCAATAAATTAGGCTGGTCGGTTGGGAGAGGAACGAACACTAGACTCGAGTCGGTGCCATCTCCACGTCCTCGCACAAGTCTGTAAAAGTAAATAACGCGACTGGCGTCCTGCGCTTGCACCCCAAGACGTGTTGCTACATGTACGCTCAAGCCCAGCAAGAAGTTTCCCTGCAACTTCAACTTGAGCACATTTCCTGCCTGTCCCGGTGGTCCCATATATGTCAGTCGAGGTGGCCGTGGCTCACGCCGTGGTCAAGGATATGCATTGTCACGCTTAGATCTTAGCGCCGACGGCGATCCCGGCTACGACTACGGCTGCGACGGCGCCGGTCACGGCTTCGGCTGCGCTCGCGACGGGACGATCGTCGGTCACGCGACTGCGACCGAGATCGGCGTCGGTCGCTTTCGCGCGGCCTCGCGCGCGGCGTCTCATCCATGACGGGTTTGGGTTCGTCGAGGGCTTTGTTGCCACGGGCTTCGCGCATCTCGACAATCTTCTTTCGAATCTGCATGTAGCCGAGGTGCATCTTGCCGCCAAAGTGGTCGGCCAAGCGCCGGTCGCTGTCAAAGATGCTGAGGAAGGCGCCGCACATATCACATACACGGAGCTTCTGGTTGACGTTCGTCATCGCCAGCGGGTTACCTGGCAGCACGGCCATGAGGGTCGCCTGTGCCACGTCAACCTCTGGCATCAACGCATCCGCGCCCGCAGTCGTCGCGAGGACGGCGCTTGGCACGCCTTGAAGCGCAGCCTTCTTGATCTTAAGCGCCTCGACCTTGGCCATAAGCTCCATGGACAAGTCAACCTCGCCTTCGTTGCCAGCGTCTTCGGCCTTCTGCATGAGCTCTGCGATTTCGGCCGTGATCTCAAGCACCTCCTTGTTGTTCTCAATGTCGAGCATGGACGAGACGCGCGCGCCGTCTTGCTCGTCGAGGCGCTTCAACGCACGCGAGATCTTCTTCTCGACGTCCGAGACGTAGCGCACGAGCTCTCGCTCGAGATCGGCCTCGTAGCCATAGTCACGTTGGTTCTTGGCGCGGTCTTCTTCATACGCGAGCTTGAGCTTGGGCAGATGAAGCTTAGGGCACTCGCCCATGTCCATCTTGGTGTTCTGGAAGAGGTCATGCGGGCAGAGGCCGCAGAGGAAGCGCTTGCAGACGCGCTGGTCGCGGAAGTCGCGGATGTCTTCCTGCGGCTTGTCGCCATCGCGGTTCCGGCCCATGAGCTCGTCGAGGAGCGCGCGTTGGGCGTCCATGGTCGCGTCCGATCTTTCGTCGGTCTGCGCCCCACACAACCAGTGGCGGCCCCGGATTGGACAAAAAGCGTCGAAAATGGCGACGCCTTGAAATCAGGACATGACCTAGTACATGCCTAGATGAGCCTATTCTAATCACACCCAACGGATCGATCGCCACGATCGGCGACGGCCGATGCATGCATGGTCCATCTTTCAGTCGAGGCCAGAGCTACTTGCAGAAGGGATATACATCCAAAGGCTAAAACTAGTGTATTCTTCGAGGTACAACATCATTACGGCTTGAAGATGACCTTGTCGTTGCTCATGTTGCCAGCGTAATCTAGCAACGCGGCCGCGGCCTCTTCGAGCGGGTACGCGATGCGGACGTTCGTCTTGAACGTCGTTGTGAGGCCCTTGGCGACCTTGGCCATCATCTCGGCGACGCCAGCCCCGCGCTCGACCAAGTACTGCTCGACCCAGAAACCGTTGAGCGTCTTGTTGAGGAAGATGAGGTCGCGCGGGCTGACACCGCTAGCACCTTCGCCCGAGAGCGCGCCGTACACAAAGAGCTCCGAATTGGTCGGCATCGCCGAGAGGACCGCACCCGACGTCGCGCCGCCAATCGCGTCAAAGCCAATTGTCGCGCCGAGCTCCGTCGTGAGCTTCTCGAGCGCCTGCGTCCAGTCAGCGTGCGCCGTGTTGACAATATGCTCGGCGCCCATCGCACGGAGTGTGTCGACGTGCTCTTGGCGACGGACGACCGCAATGACCGCGATGTTGTGTTCCTTGGCGTGGCGCACGAGCATTTTGCCGAGGGCCGAGGCGCCGGCCGTGTGCACGATGGCCTTGACGTTGCGCTTGACGGCAATCTCGACAAACGCGACGACCGTGAGCGGGTTGATAAAGCACGACGCGCCGTCCTCGAACGAGGCGTCTTCCGGGAGCTCGATGCACGAGTGCGCAGGGACAACCACGTACTCGGCCCACATGCCCGCCGGGTCGACGATCGTGCCAATGCGCTTGCCGAGAAGGTGCTGCGCGTTGGCGCCAGCCGCGACAACGACGCCGGAGCCTTCGACGCCAGTCACTTGCGGCAGCGGGATCGAGCCAAAGTTGCCGTAGTAGCCTTGGAGCTGGGAAAAGTTGGACGGGTTGATGGGGCTCGCCGCGACCTTGACGAGCACTTCGGTCGCCGCCGGCGTCGGAACGGGGATCTGCTGGACTTCAAAACACGCCGCGAGGTTGGGCTGGGCAAAGTCCTTCACGCGCTCCACAAGCATGAGCGCGCGCATCGTGGTCGGGATCGTGGTCATCGTTTCGGATGAAAGGAAAAGGAAAAGTGACTTGTTGGGGCTGCCCTGAAAAGCGGGATTACGATCGGCGAGCGGTGGACAAAGCATCGGCTTTTGCGACACGCCAAAGATTTCTTCGGCTTTCACTTGGATTTTGTATTGTAGGATTCGGCACCAGAGGACACGGACGGCAGGGACCATCCCCGGGAAGCATCACATGGACGGAGCTACAATAATCTAATACGGACGAGGAGCTCTACTTAGCGCCATTGCGACGTAGTGCAGCATGCATCTATCTCGTTCGCGCTACGCGGCACTGCGTCGTCCTATCGAGCGATACATCAAGTCGAATGTTGTAGTAGTCTGTTGCCTCCTGCTGGGTTGGGATGGCAGCGAGATTGCGTTGCATGATAAAAGGCAAAATGCAAATGCGTCGCGTGCTATAATACTTGACTTAATGGTAGCCGTAAAGCTCCATTCGAATCGAGCGCCAGGGATCTCGTTGATAGGAGTGTCGTAGTTTAGATGCTCTCGTCGGGGACACATACACATGGACGGTGCAAAGGTATCACGAGCCACCAGTTTCTAGAACATGGTTCTCAAGCATTGTCATGCCAATAAATTCGCAAGGTCAAGGGAATCCTAGTGTTACCGTTCACGCGCTAGCTTATGCTGTCGCTGGCCATTGAGCATCTGCAATCTGTTGTTTCTTCCTTGTGCGCCTCGGAAGAACTGACTTTTGCAGCACGAAGCAGTATAACAATGGTGCTAGAATAGTACCTTCAAGCATATACGGCGTATATGCTTGATGGGTTTGGTTGTTTGCTCGTGAGCAAAGTGGACAAAGCAAACCCGAGCCGCGGCAAAATCCGCTCTCTGAATCGCTTTGGCCAATGAGATGCGTTCGCGGCAATCGGCGCTAAAAATTCCGCCAATCATGGGCATGTGCCAATCAAATCACGGCTTTACGGGCCCACCACCAGCAAGAACGGCCCAATGTCACCAGGGAGGACCATTCCAGATTTTCCCCGGACAAACGCACAAGATGGCAAAGACCCCGAGCAAGAAGTCCGCTAAGGCCCCGAAGAAGACGGGTGAGAAGGGCAAGGCCAAGAAGGGCAAGCGCGTGGAATCGTACTCGACGTACATCTACAAGGTCCTCAAGCAGGTCCACCCCGAGACCGGTATCTCCAAGCGTGGCATGTCGATCATGAACTCGTTCATCAACGACATCTTTGAGCGCATTGCGTCCGAGGCCGGCAAGCTCTCGCGCTACAACAAGAAGTCGACCTTGTCCTCGCGTGAGATCCAGACTGCCGTGCGCCTCATGCTTCCCGGTGAGCTCGCCAAGCACGCCGTCTCGGAGGGCACGAAGGCCGTGACCAAGTTCACGTCGTCGGCGGCTTAAACATCGTTGTATTTATATATGATTTTGTACTCTACATCGCCTCGTCGTCATGCGAAATCACACTGCGCATATCGAGGCCATCGCAGCAGGTCAGCGAGTGCAATAGGCGAAGCAACGCCACGCTATCGATTTCGTACAGATCGGACTCGACAGTCGCAGTGGCATGGAGTCGCTCTTGCAGTGGCGGGACGAGGTGCTTGCACACATGCTCGCAAGCAATGCTGTCGATGGCGCCTGTATACGCTGGCGCCTCGACCAGCGGCGCCTTGTCCGCACGCCATGCTGCTTGAAGCTTGTTGTAGATCCCGGAGCTTGCATCGTTCTCGCGATGGAGTGGCGCATTGTCGACAGTGTGTTGCGGATTGCGTGCAATCGCCTGCAGGAATGTCTGAGTGCGCGCAGCCGCTCGCTACAAAGGGCAGCGACAATCAATGCAAGATGTTGGCTGCCTAATCTAGTGGGTCACCTTGGAGAGCACGGGGGGTGGCGGTATCCGTTGAAGGCACGCTGCGAGCTCTGCATTCAGGGCCGCAAGAAGCTGCTTGACCCTATTGAGGCGAAACCAAGTGGGAAAGACTGTCGGGAGACTGGGTGATGCCTCCGCGGCGTAGCTCGTGCACTTGGTTTCAAGGACGTGCAGGACGCAAGCATACGCTTGCTGGATGCGCTCGAGCTGGTCACGGTACGAGATGCGGATCGGGACGGCCGACGAGGCCGAGTCTCGCTGTGCTAAGATCTGGTTGAGTTTTCCAGCAGCGACGGTTGGTGGCGCATCGCGTCCGCACCACAGCAGCGCCATGTCTTGGACGTCCTTGATCTGGCTCGTCATTTTGCGGGGAAGCGCGCCAGGAGCTGGGGAGGCCGGTTCGGCTTTAGTCGACATCGAGGACGGAGCTGGCTCTGCTGCTTCTTTCAACGGCGTGCACTTGGCAGTCGCACCCCGAATGGACTTGGCCCGCTTGAGCGCCTCTTCCAGCGCCGACTCGGCGTGGGCCACCGCGCGCTGGAGCTGGTCCTCTTCATTTTTGGCCGCCTCTGCCTGTTCTTGCACGCGTTTCTTGAGCTGCCACGACGACGAGCAATAGCAAAGTGAGGCTTTCAGACTGCTACACTGGTCATCAAGGAGCGCGGTCCGTGCGCTGAGATCCGCCGAGATCGCGTCGAGCACCTCCAGGAGCCGTGCCAAGTCCGCTGCCATGTGGGTATCCGGTATTTGCGGCATATGCCGCATACGAAGAAAGCCACCCTGGTGGCTTGAGCTTTGTCCATTGTCGGTGATTCGTGATCACGGCAAGACTGCCACGCACGTCATGTTGAGTTAACCACGCAAATTACGCACTTGCGAAGGAATCCGAAGACGGCCGCCCGTTGGATTCGTCCACGCGCCGCCAACGTAAACCGTCAACGGCCGCGTACGCGTACGTTCTGCAGCTCATTTCCCAATTGTCTTTCAACGACCACCTTCCTTCTCCAACACCATGTCTGCGGTTCCGTCCACGATGCGCGCTTTGATGCTCGTCGAGCGCGTCAAGAGCTTCACCCAGCCCGACCTCGCCTCGTGCTTCGAGGTCCAGAGCGTCCCCGTGCCGGTCCTCAGCGCCGACCAGGTGCTCGTCAAGGTCGCCTGCAGCCCTATCAACCCGTCCAACCTCTCCCAGCTCCAGGGCGCCTACGGCGACTTTGGTGAGATGCCGCTCCCGCAGGTCACGGGCGGTGAGGGCTCCGGCACCGTCGTCGCGGCGGGCGACAGCCCCTACGCCCAGTCGCTCATCGGCAAGCGCGTCGGTACGGTCGCCAACCCTGCCGGTATGTGGGCCGAGTACGTTGCTGTCTCGGCCGCTTCGTGCATCCCGCTGACGCCCGAGACGACGTTCGAAGATGGCGCGTCGTGCTTTGTGAACCCTCTCACCGTCGTCGCATTTGTCGAGACGGCCCTCGCCAAGAACGTCAAGACCATTGTGCACACGGCCGGCGCCTCGGCCCTCGGCAAGATGCTCGTGCGCCACGCCAAGGACCAGGGCGTCAACGTTATTGCGGTCGTGCGTCGCCAGGAGCAGGTCGACACGCTCAAGGACATTGGTGCCGAGTACATTGTCGACACGTCCAACGCCGATTGGGTCGCGCAGCTGGAGAAGCTTGCGACGGAACTTGACGCCACGATCGGGTTTGACGCTGTGGGCGGTGCGACGTCGGGCGCGGTGCTTTCGGCCATGCCGGCCAACTCGGAGCTCTTTGTGTACGGCGCGCTTTCGGGCGAAGGTGTCAAGGGTGTGAGCCCGCGCGACTTGATCTTCCTCAACAAGAAGGTGTCGGGCTTCTGGCTCGTCAAGTACCTTGGCCAGCGTGGCGCCGGCATGGTCGAGATGGTCGGCAAGGTCGCGAACGCGCTCACGAGCACGTTCCAGACCAAGATTCGCGTCGCTTACCCGCTCGAGGAAGCTGCGGCGGCATTCCAGGACTACTCGGCCAACATGAGCAACGACAAGGTTGCGTTCAAGCCTTTCAACTAAGCGATTTTTGAATGGTGTCATAAATATACTCGTATTTTCGTAAATAGTTTAAGTGTAAACGGTGTTGCTACTGGTACTGCTGCGAGTTTGTACAGTACCTGCACGTCGGTCGGGGCAGGATCATGGCGGTAGTCCCTCGTGGTAGCGGACGTCAAATTATGCATGACACGACTTGACACTGACAGGTCGGAAATGGTCAGGTACAGGGACAGGATACAATTGTATGATTAGCTAGCGGACCGTTGAGATCAAACCTCACGATCAACAAGCGTATTATACATATATTATGCGTACCTCACTTGGGGCCGCAAGGGCTCTGGTGCCACTAGACAAGAGCCTGGCGAGCCGGCGCTGTTGCCGACGCAACTATGAGTCCGGCCGCGGGTGAAGGAGTTTCTCCTACCACGAGGGACTACCGCCATGATCCTGCCCCGACCGACGTGCAGGTACT